TGCGTGACACGCGAACGGCCATGACTAGCTCCGAGAAAGATCCGAGTAAGTGTTCGTTCTTGTACAGTCAGTATCATAAGCCTTGTAAAGAATCGTACAAGATCCAAAGGATCATAACTCATAACAAAAAGGATTATCGTTCAACTATAAATAAAACTTTTTTTATTATTTTATTTTTTTTCTCTCTGAGTATGTGTATTTGTGTGTTCGTTAGTGTATGTATATGTGTGTTCAAAAATGGGTATATAATTTCATGGAAGTGGTGTAAGGGAGAGGAATATTATTAAAAAAAAAAAAAAATTACTATCTCATGGTGAGAAAGTACTTTTCGTTATTAATCGTGTTCAAAGTTGAGAATGAGAAAGATGGTAGTCGTTACCAACAGATTGTACAGATTCACGAGTGAACAGACGCGCATAGGTATGACATAATCCAGACGCTTTGCACCAAATGCATTATTCATCTTCCATGAAATCATACACAAGAAAAAGAGGGAAAGAGAGAGAGAGAGAGAGAGAGAGAGAGAATAGCGAGATACGAAACGTCTCCGCATTTAAATACAATTCTCCGCTTTGATTATTATTATTATTTAGCACGTTTTAAAAGCGAATTACGTATCAACTTAAAGGCGCCTCTTTTCTATCGTTAGACATTACTTACGCGTACATGATTCACGAGACTTTATCTTTATGGTGGGTGAGTAATGTGTCGGTGGTCGGTCTGGATAACAATGGAGAAAGCCATGAAGAACTTGAACGAATCCAACAACGGGGAATACGCATTCGTAGTGAACGATCGCGAAAGCCACGTTACGGAATCGTTTCTTCTTCTTCTTCTTCTTTTTCTTTTTTTTTCTTTTTCTTTTTCTTTTTCTTTTTATTCTTTTTAAATTAACTACTTTTTCTTTTTTTATTAATTTTTTTTGTATTGTTTCTTTTAAATCGACTCCCACCTAGAGTCGCGGATTCAAGTCCCGCTCTCCGACATCGAACGAGAAAGCATGCCTGCTCCGTCGTGGCTTGAGAGCGTTTGCGCCCCGTGTTTTTACCGGTAAGGCCTGCTTCGCAAATCGCCACGATGATCTTAGGACGGCGTAGGACTGATCACTCCACCCTGAAGATCTGTCGATCAAGAAACGTAACTTAGGCAATTATACGCTGAGCGTAGCCGGTTGCGAAGTTTGGTCTCTCGAGACCGTAAGCCAAAAATTTATTTTATTTATTGTTTCTTTTAATACTTTTTAAGTTTCGTTTGATCATCGAATCCTCGTAAGTTTGATTCGTCTTTGATTTTCCTTCTCTCATTAGATATTTTATTTATTGTCAATAAATAAGATAATTTCAAGGTATATCGCATAAATCGCGTATACTGTAGATGTGGTATATGATAAATGAACGCGCGTGAGTTATTCGAATTCGAAAATATCCTCGGCATGTGGGTAATTTATAAATCATAACAGTTGGCCATTCTCCTTTCAGTTTCTAACCACAGACACGGACTTGATCGACATCCAGAATCGTAGGCGTTATTGGATGTCATTGGGAATGGTCCCAGGTTTTCCTTGAAATATTGAAAGAAAGATTCTTTTAAAAAAGGAGACTTTTAATTTTTAAATAATTGATCGGTACCTCATTTTAGTTCTTCTTTATTTTATTATAATTTCATGAAAAAGTATTCAAATTTGATACTGAATATACATCATCTATACTGTTCTACGCGTATCTCATAACCGAACAAGATGGAAAGGAGAGAAGATTTTTCCTTGTATCTTCCGTCTCGTTTAAATGACGAACATCGAGAAGAAGATACAACACACCTATCGATAGAATATATTTGAAAATTTTTAAGCGATGTTTACTGGTCGGACTACTTCTATCCATTCGCTACTACGAAAATGTCTACGGCTATGAACGATTATACCAACTTCAAAGCCCATTTATCTTTAACAACCCGCTACGATGTCTTGTCGTAATGTATAAATATTGTTTAAGATTTATGACCGACTAATTTTATTCAGCCAAATATTTTACCGTTATTAAACACAATATTAGATATATTTATATTTGCATATATACAATAAAGGAGGTAAGGATAATGTGAATGACAAAAAAAGAAATTAATTACGACAATGTTTTTAACGAGGACATCAATGAGATTAAAATTTGACAAAAATGATGAGACAAATATACGAGAATGAATTGAAAAGTTTTGAATTTATACTTTTCGAAGTTTCGAGATTACGTAGCAAAATAATAATGAGTTTAAACGGGAAAAAAATTGTTCCTAACTTAAACTCACACACACAGAACTTTTCGACCCACTCGTATACATACGAGAATAGAATAATGTATGAAATACAAAAATAAATTAATCGTGACTTTTTCATGAAGATACTGATTATACTGTGCGAGATATTAATGAGGTTGAAACTTGAAAAAAATTATAAAACAGAGGTTCTCGTGAAAGAGGTTCGTCTTCGAGGATGTCAGCTACACTTTTTCACGGACGTCATCGTCGAACCGACAAGTAGCCAAAAATAATGTTGACCGAAACGAAGGGTAACGTTCAATCGCATTTAGTGGCTTGAATAGATTTATAATTTTGTGTTTTTTTTTCTTTTTTTTTTCTTTTTTTTTCTTTTGAGTTAATAACGTTTCTTTGTTTTGTAGCCTCCGATCAACAAAAACTAAAACAAGAGAAAAAGGAAAGGAAGAAGATTAGAAAATCTTGAATAATCCTGGGAAAAATACGATCAACCGAGGAAACCATTTCAAAACATAAGTCTTATAAAGCATCGGAAGAAAAAAAAGAAGAAGGTCGAGAAAGAGGCAAGGGTGGTGTTGTTGGTTGCAATGGTGGTGATGGGAGAGAAAAAGAAAGAATTAGTTATAATACAAAGCTGGGGGAGAAACATAATTTAAGTTTAAAATGATGTAGCACGAAATAACAAGATTTTCCAGGGTCGTTTCTGTACAAGATCCGTGACACGAACAATTTTCAGCAACAACAAAAAATGAAAAAAAAGGAAAAGAAAAATTTAATAATTTACTCGCAATGTTCAATAAATTTGCAATTGGTACGTCCCTTATACTATGTGAAGTTATGTTAATTAAGTGTTCTAGTCATACGGCATATCTTAATTGCGTGCAAGTCAGCATTGCAATTCTACTTCGTCAAAGTACTTTTATTATTTATAATTATAGTATCATCGACAATGAAAGAGAGAAAGAGAGAAAGAGATTCTATATTTTTACGCAATAGACAGGATTGGATAGAAATAATAAGTCAGAAATAAATAAACTTACACCGCCTATCTATCGTATACACACACGTTCTAATAACTGCAATCATCTTATTTTTTTATTTTATCTTTATTTCTTTTCTTATTTTAGCGAAGATAAACATAGAATATCTCTCAACGCATTATTATATAATATTATATAAATGATGATAGCGTAGTTTAATTATTTTAACGCAATATACAAGACATTATCCATGTTCTAAGAAAACTGCTAGATCCCTACAAAAAGAAAAGAAAAAAAATATTCATTTAAAATAATTTTCATTATTATTTTTGATTATTAAAAAAACAACAAATGAAAGAAAGATATCTCTCTATGAGCGTTTCCATCTATCGAAATTCTTTTTCTATGATCTTTCTATAATTTACTATAATCGTTAAGCGAGGAAAGATTGAACGACGGGATATCGATAAAAGCCCATCGGTCGACGTGCTGGATCGACACGGCGGGTGGCTAAATGCATCTGGAATATGGCCAACATCAAAAATAAGCGAATTTTCGAAGGATATTACAAATCAGCCGATGGTCACTCGAATATGAACGACATCAATGTCCGCGCCGTATAAGAAATACATACATTTTTATTTTATTTTTAACAGTTCAAGCGATGTAACTAAAAATTACATACTTATAAACGAACAAATATATAACTAATAAAAGTGTATATCTAATTACCAAATAATTACAAAAGTTAAACAATAATTGGAAGAGTGTTTATAGAAATAGGGCTTGTGTTTAATTGTGTTGGTCATATGTAACTAATTTGCAATTTGTGTTACATAAACCTTTCTTCTTGACACTCATTCAATTATTGGATTGGTCAATAAATCCATACAGTTTTGTTCTAAATAAATAAAACTGCATGGACTTATTGGTTAACCTAATAAAATTATATTTATAAGTCGTAGATAATCGAAAAGGAAGTTCGACTCATCTCAGCTGAATCACGTATGTATATATGTAGATATACTCATATTATAAGAGAGAAAGAAAGAGAGACATAGAAAGAGGGATTAGAAAGATTTTCTAAAAATTGTCACGATCTATTTTGCAATTTTCTTATTAAATCCAGTCAAGCAGCTCTTCTTTCTCTGGTATAGCAGCCCGATGACGAGCATTCACCTACGCTCACGCTTTTCGAATCTAATTTCGTATTTTTGAAAGGCGCGTCTCCTGGGCATGAAAATGAGAAAACGAAAGAGAAAGAGATAAAAAATATAGAAATATAGAAAGATAGATAGATAGAGATAGAGAAAAGTGTAACGAAAGCACGGATCTTCCGCGATCCGTTCTTGCTGCTTATAAATCAGCTACGGCAACGACGGAGGTTGCTTGCTACGAAGAAAGATTTAAAATGCTCGGTGAGAGTCTGCAAAAAAAAGAAAGAGAGAGAAAGAGTGAAGGGGAAATGGGGCAAAGATGCTGAGAGAAAGGGACAGAGAGGTCAAGGGAAAGATTGAGTTAAAAGGGGGTCGGGTGGAAAGAACGATGAGAGAAAGAAGATAGAAGAGAGTGCCTTTTCAGATCCAACGGTGACCAGTTTAGTTCTGGTTGGCATCGGGTACGCTCAGAAAGAGAGAGAGAGAGAGAAAGAGAGAGAGAGAAAGAGAGAGAGAGAGAAAGAGAGAGATCATGCGACAGAAGAGAAACGAATTGGTATCCTTTTTCGAAACTGTCATTAAAATCGACTCGATCGAGAAACGAAGGAGACCGAGTTACGATTTCAGTTCGAACGTTCGATATATTCTTTCCTCTTCCTTCTTCTTCTTATTCTTTCTTCCTCTTCTACTTCGCCTTTTACTTCTCTCTATCACCTCTTCCTCCTCCTCCTTTTCCACTGCCACCACCACCCCCACCTATTTCTCCTCCATTACTTCGATGAGGAGAAATCGGTGCCAGTGAGTCTCGGATAATGTCAGACGACGGATCGGTGAATATATTTCCTCGTTGGATTTTTCACCTAACACGTGACTTTTTATAACAATTCTTGTTAACATCATTTTCGTCCTAATATTTTCTTTATTTTTGTTTTTTTTTTTATTTGTTTTTTTTTTTTTTTTTTTTTTTTTATCAGCCTATAAGATTATTTTATTATTACGAGAAGTCGAAAGCTGTGATAAATTTTGTAAATAAAAATTATCGCGCATAAATACGTGCATCGATTTATAACAAAATATACTCGAGTGTCGTATACTTATTTTTATTTTTATTTTTTTCCCCTAAGCGATAGWGCAAGAAAAAATTAATAAAAGAAAAAAAAAGAAAATTTGTATATTATTGTACACAAATTTATATCCAAATGAAAAATTACTTGGAAATATAAGAAAAATCATCGTTGAGGAGAGTAACAGTGAACGATAGAAAGAGAAAAAAGGAAAAAAGAAAACAAAAAAATAAACATTCCATGATCTTACGTGAAAGGTGCGTGTATATCTCTTTAACTATTCACGAGTGTCACTTCGACTTTCTCTCCTGCGTTGTAGTTTGATGGTAGTAGTCGTTAATCGTGCGTTTCGTGCAATAAAAGTTGAATCTAATCAATCGATCGAATACTTAACGATTACTTTAAGACTTTTCTACATGAATAAAACTATTCGATTGAATACATGTTCGATTTAAGAAAAAGGAAAGATACATTTAAAGGACTTCAATAATTTTATTTAAAAAAGAAAATAAAAAATAAATAAATAAATAAAAAAATACCTCAAATACAGTTTTGCAAAAAGGGTCGAAAGGAAAGAGTTACAAGATAGGCTGTTGGTTGCTTGCTCTGGGTGATCTAAGAATACCCCACTGCGGGTGGATCGTTGAACCAGCTTTTCTCCTCTCTTTCCTCTCCCCACGTGTTGCGAGAACCTCTAACTGAGAGAGAACTCGCTAACGAAAGAAATAAATCACAAAAACTTTCTCTTTCTCTCTCTTACACACACTTACACACTCGCTCGGTCTTTCACTCTTGATCTTTCTCTTCATCTTTTCTTGAAATCTTTTACGCGGGATCTCCTGCAGTTGATTCGAAAAAATGTCCGGAGACACAACGTCAGACGAAGAAGGCTCGCAAGAGGACCCACCCCGATATGACATCGATGACATGGAAATCGTCAAAACAATCGGTGAGTCCCCCATCCTCCCTCCCATCTTCTTCTTCTTCTTCTTCTTATTCTTATTCTTATTCTTATTCTTATTCTTATTCTTATTCTTATTCTTATTCTTATTCTTATTCTTATTCTTATTCTTATTCTTATTCTTATTCTTATTCTTATTCTTATTCTTATTCTTATTCTTATTCTTATTCTTATTCTTATTCTTATTCTTCCTTATTTTTCTGTCTCTGTCTCTCTACATTTGACTTTTGTTTTACTTTGTTTATCAATGACTCACGAGATCGAAAAATAAATCGGCTAACCGGTTTCGAGGCAACGGTAATTCCCTTTGGCGATATGACCCGCAACCGGACGTTGCCGATTCTCTTAGAGATGTACGTTACGATTTTCATTATATACATCTTTCAAAATAAAACAAAGAAAATTCGATTTACAATTTATGTAATAAAATATAAACTTTTTAATTTTACATATTATTTTAATATTCCTACCTTTATTTTATATTTTATTAAATGGAAAATAACTGAAATAATATTTAATATATGGTTTGACAAGTTTTGAGTTTATTCATTATAATTTTATTTATTTTTGACCGAAAACAAATTGTTTTTAAATATGTTAAGCTCAAAACTTTTCAGCACACTCACGTATGTTACAGTCAAATATATAAAATTGTTGTTTTATAATTTAAAATTAAAATTAAAAAAAAAAAGAAATAAAAAGAAATGAATTCTTGCGTAAATTCGTAAAAGGTTCAATCTCTTGAAAATGAAATTACTAATGAAATAAGAAAAAAAAAAGAAAAAAGAAGAAGTGAGTCATTGGAAAGTGAGAGGTGCATCTTTATCTCACAATAACATATTTAACTGCTCATTAAATTCGAATTACACGGGAACGAAAAAGACGAAACATGTTTCAGGAAGCAGGTGTAAATTCGGTAGGCTTGTAAAAAAAGAAAATTTCTATTGGAACCGTTTTTTTGTTTCGATTCAAGTTTCAACGGATCCAACTAAAATTCAATTAGTAAATTAGAAGAGGAAATATCAAGGATAAACTTTTCTCGTGAAAGAAACTCCCGGAACAGACGGCTTCTCTATGTTTCTAAGCCAAACAAATCGTTTCACAATAAAGACACATTAATATTTTATCGCATAAGCTCGTTTAAAAGCTCGATTCTCGTCCTCGTAAGATAATATACGAATGAACGGAATTAGATCAATTTCTCGAAACAGATGTGCTGTTCTTCTTTGAAACGTATAACAAGCTTTTGGATCAAAACCAAACCGTTCTCGAGTGTCCGCGAGATATATAAAAAAAAATAAAAGAAAAAAAACAATTTATAGAACTCGATGGCTTGACACTTGAAACCTCCGAGAGAGAGAGAAAGAGAGAGAGAGAGAGAGAGAGAGAGAGAGAGAGAGAGAGAGAGTGAGAGAAAGTAAAACACGCTCATGTCTCTTGTTTATTCGTATTCGATATTCGCACACAAAACAAAAATAATTTATAGGACCCTCGTCGTTGTTCCGTGGAAAATAGACTTTAACATTTCCTATGATATGGATTCTTACGTATAATATATGTATTCGTGCATGTACATATAAATGTACGATTTCATACACACAAAAAAAGATATATTTCTATTAAAAAAAAAAAAAAAATAAATTTTACAACCGATTCGAATAAATTTAATAAATCAGCAATAACATTTTTTCGAACTCTTTGAATCGAAAACAACTGACGAAATGGTTGTTAGAATGATTTATAGTAAAAATAGTACATACGTGTATTATATAATATATATATGCATAGATTAACGATATATACATACATTTATAATCTGAAAATGATCGGTTGAATAAAATAAAAATGATCGTATTTAAAGCGCACCTACGCCATCGCCGGAAATTCGTACTCGCCGGCGTTGTTCCACACCGATCGACACCTGTTGTCAGCTGTCGTTGGCAGACCTCAGTGGTCGTTACCGTGTAAAAGGCAGACACGAATGTTCCTCACGAATCTTCCTGTAAGCTCATGCTGCCAACTTCATTTTGAGAGAAACTATCTATAGAAAACCGCGTCGTGTTCTAAACTTAGTCATTTCTTCGATAATTTGTGTCTCCGATAAAAGTAACTCTGAGAAAGATACGAAGAAAGAAACAAATTATACGTCTGTATGCGTGTATGTGAGAGTGTGCATTATTTTTGTTTTGCATCGAAGCGATTAATTTGCTCGCCAAATTCGACTACTTGTATTCCCACCATCCCCACTTCCACCCATTTATTAACAACCAAGACACGTTCGGATTAATTAGTCACGGTGCGTTAATCCTTATCAACTTTGATCATCACAATCATCTTTATTAAAAAGCATGCTATAAACAAATTCCGTGTGCTAAACGTTTCTCTCATATTTAAACGAACAGAGAAAGCGTTGATAATTGGGTGTCATTACAAAGTGCTTCGTCGACTTTTCGTTTTCTTTTTTCTTTTCCTTTCTTTTCTTTCTTTCTTTCTTTCTTTTGATTTCCATTTTTTTCTTTCTCCTTCAGTCTTTTTTTGTTTTTATTTAATTTTCTTTCTTTTTTTAAAAAAATATGTTACGTATATTTTTCAGGTACCGGAACATTTGGTAGAGTTGTATTATGCAGACATCGTGGAAAACCTCTCGCATTGAAGGTACTTTCAATGGCCGACGTGATCAGACTGAAACAAGTCGAGCATGTTCGCAATGAGATCACGGTACTGAAAGAGGTCAATCACCCCTTCATCGTCAACATGTAAGCATAGGTATCTTCTGTTTAATCGTTTCGTTCATTCTTTTGACAGATTTCAATAAATTGAAAAGTATCTTTTTATATGTATCAAACACAATGACTTTTATGAATAAAAGAAAATTCAAATGATTTCATCAAATAATATAATTTTAATTGATTAAAACAGTTATCCTGTTCATAGTTAAAACTAGTACATTGTAATTTGTTTTGTTCCTAACAATAACACGGATACATGCCTGAAATACTTCAACAGACGCTATATATTTGAGAGAAACTACATTTTATGGTTAAATTGTATCGATACATTCGCGTATAATAATTACATTGTCATGTATTATAAAATAAATAAATTAATATTATTTTTTGACTTAGGCTATTGTCATAATTTTCAGCACAATTTTGATAAGAATTTTCTTATTTGCTAAAAATTTTATTAACATCTAATATATGTAAAAATATTATTTATTTCTACCAACACATGTATATCCATCGTAAAAAAATATTTTATAATAATACAAAATAGCAAGAAGAGAAAAGCATAATTAGAAATCTAGCAAAGTAATATCGGGTAGAAGCTCGTTTAAACAATTCGCACTATTAAATAGAAATTAGCGATCCGCAAAGAAAGAAAGCAAAACGAGGACGAAAGAAACAGATTTCTCAAAAGCAATTGTCGTCTCTGTTTCTTTTGCAGGCTTTGGAGTGGCAGAGACGAGGCAAGACTTTACATGCTATTCGAATTTGTAGCCGGTGGTGAATTATTTTCTTATTTGAGAGCAGCCGGAAGATTTTCGGGACCGACCAGTTGCTTTTATGCTGCTGAAATTGTTTGTGCTTTGGAATACCTTCACAGCAAACACATCATTTACAGAGACTTAAAACCTGAAAATCTTCTCCTCGATAGCCAAGGACATCTTAAAATTACCGACTTTGGCTTCTCGAAAAAACTAACCGACAGGTAAAATCAGTTTAATTTATTCTACTGGCTTTTTGATTTACAAAAACAAGTAAAAGAAGAAATCATATCTCATATTTCTTTAGGCGTATTTTCAATTGCGTTAATCTTTTTCTATTGTCATAATAATCAGCCTACGTTTTTGCTAGTATTTACGTCTGACAATCAACTTAGTCTACTTAATTATAGTTCAAATTGTGTCTAAAAAAAATTTTAAATTCTCTTTTTCTTCTTTAATTTTTTTTCTTAGTTAATAACGTGAACATTTTCAGAACGTGGACTCTTTGCGGTACGCCGGAATATTTGGCACCGGAAATCATTCAGAATAAAGGACACAACAAAGCCGTAGATTGGTGGGCTTTGGGTGTCCTAATTTACGAAATGTTGGCTGGCTTCCCACCGTTCTTCGATGATAATCCTTTTGGAATATATGAGAAAATATTAAGTGGTAGAATAGAGTGGCCTAAACACATGGATCCTATCGCGAAAGATCTCATTAAGAAATTACTCATAGCTGACAGAACTAAAAGATTAGGAAATATGAGACAAGGTGCTGAAGATGTTAAGAGGCATCGTTGGTTCAAGTTGGTCGAGTGGCCCTTGGTACTTTCATTTTCTTATTTATTTCTCATCGAAATGCAACATTTGAGAGTAACTCATTAATGTTTTATGGCAAACCAATCACAAACAGGTACCTCAGAGAGCTTTGACACCACCGATCAGGCCAAGAGTTAAAGCACCTGGTGATCCAAGTTGTTTTGATGATTATCCTGAAACTGATTGGCGTTCACAACCAGCATTACCAGCTGACCAATTAGCACTCTTTCAAGACTTTTAGCAACGATTTATGAAGATTCATCTTTAATCTTATACTGATCGCGGTGATACGTTTCTATTGTTTTTACAAGTTCAATTCATAAGTTATATATATATATATATATATGCGTCGTTGAAAAAATATCTTTCTATAAAGAAAGGGAAAAAAAAGATTATTTTTTAAGAGTGATTTTTCATAAGAAACAAAAGGATTTCTTATATTGTAAATAGGCATATTTTTATATCTCCGAAAGCATGTACTTATTTATTTGTACGTTCTGTTTAAGCTTAGTTGTCTGTTTTAAAAGAAAAAAAAAAGAAATTTTTATCGAAAAATTGTAAATAAAAAATCGATGTCGTATTTTAAAACGATCATCGATAAACGAATTCGTTTTAATATTTTTTTTGTTTCTTTTTTTTTTTAATTTCTAAATGCCGATTATTTTTCTTGATACCTTTAATTTTATTAATAATTGAAATACGAATGCATGCAATAGCGATTTGAAAGACGATAATACTAATCGCACGAATTATTTGAATAATTTATTTCCAATGAAAAAGAGTACATAAACGTGTAGTTGCACGCTAGATGTTCAACACATTCAGCAAACAACGAACACATTCGATTTAAGTTGACAAGAGAAAGTTGATAATAAGCACATCGAACAAAACTATGGTAATTTAATTATTGTTATAATATTTTATTTGTAATTTTTTGTTTTATTCGCGACAACTTTTCATTAAACTTTGACTAATAGAAAGAATATTCTATTGCAGGAAAAATACAAGAGCGATGAAAAATTCAAGCAAAGTATTCGTGACATCAAAAAGATTAATAATCAAATGACGTTGAAGAAAAACAAGTCAACATTAATTTCGGCAAACGCAGATCGCAAAAAACGTTCGGTTAAAAAAATTCTTCAAGATTTCACCGAATCAAGTTCTATACACGGTGTTAAATATCTTGGAATGCAAAGTATCGTTAAAAGTTGTATAGGAAAATTATTATGGCTTATTGTAGTGGTCGCTGGATTTTTCGGTCCGATTTAGAACAATAAAATTAGATAAATGTTGTAGAACTGTCCTCAATAATCATCAAATCTTAATATAGTTATGTCTATGTATTTTAATAGGTGCGAATATTATGTTGAACAAATTTTTGGTAAACTTGGAAAATAATCCGACCGAACTTCGCGTCGAAACATTTTATTCACCGATTATCAACGCTCCATTTCCAGCGATAACAATTTGCCCTTCCACACCAACTATGCTTAAAACCCAATTGGATTTAATGAAAAATATTAAATTACCTGCTAATATGAGCAACGAGGAAGCGATGTTCTTTATCAAGTAAATCAACAATATATATATATATATATATATATATATATATATATATATATATATATATATATATATATATGCTAAATGTATTTAGTATTTAACTAAAATGTTATAATAATAATTTTCTTTTTTTATAGATATGGAACTGATATAACTACGCCGCATATAACAAGACATCCAAACCGTTTGAATAAATATGTTGAGCTTTTAAAAGTAAATAAATGGACATTGATTGATTTTTTGGCAGCCATCAAGCCTTGCAAAGATATGATCGAATCTTGTTGGTGGCAAGGACTGCAAATTAATTGTACTGATTATATCAAACAATCTTACACCTATTATGGAATTTGCTGTTCTTACAATTATTATTTAGAATATCTCATGAAATATGACGTGTAAAATATCAAAATTAATTAATTAATTATTATAAAAGTGTTGTAAGTCCACTTTTGAATAAAATTGAAGAAAACACCAAATTTTAATATTTTATTTACATTCAATGAAAATAATTTATTATTTTAATTTTTTTTTCTAAAATAGACTTACAACCACTTTCATAATAAATGATTCATTTTGTTAATAAGATATCTAAATCTTATAAATAATTTACAAACAATCTTAAAATTTGTAGACGTTTTCAAGAAGTACCAATACTTCACTCGGTTAAAACTGGATCAAAATCTGGGCTCACTATAATATTCAATCGTGATTTATTTTTTCAAGAAAACGAAACTGAGAGCACCAACTTTGTAAACAGCGTCAAACTTTTAGTACGATATTTAATCAATTTATATGAGGATGAATTGAGTAATTCAGTCTATGTCAAAAAATGACTGAATTTGACCGAAATCAAAAATTATTTTTACGCTAGTCTTAAAATTTTTCAACTCATCCACGTATGTACTGCAACAAAAAGATATATAAATAAATTAATTCATTGTACAGGTATTCGTTCATCACACAGTGTCTTATCCAAGCGCCGAAACTGTTGGATACTCTTTGCAGAAAGGACAAGAATTAAAAGTTCGTTACAATGAAATTATTAATTTCAATTAATTTTTTAATATTTGACGATTATACTGATATTTTTATTTTGTTGTTATTCTAGTTAAGAGTGCAACCAATTATAAAAAAGAAACCACAAAATATTTATCACACCTATTTCAACGATAGCTTACAACTCGAGTGCATTCCTAACACCCAGAAAAGCAACTTACGTTTTTTTAACGAATATCACCAATCTAATTGTTTCGTTGATTGTACGATCACCGAAATATATAAAATGTGCGGCTGTGTTAGATACATTTATGCACCGATGGCAAATTATACTTCGTTACGGGTATAATAAATTTGTAATGATATTAATTGATATGAATTAACGTCAAAACGTAATCGATATAATTTATTTGTCTTTTTTATCCAGATATGCGATTCTAAGGATGTTAAGTGTTTGAATAAATATTGGTATAAAATAAAGTCCGTTAACTTCGACACCTGTTTTTGTTCGAGTCTTTGCGAAGATACGATTTACAAGATATCAACTTCCAAATATTACTTGAAAAATACACAATTATCTGTTTCACCGATATAGTAAGTTTTTCACAATAATTAATTATTAAACAAATACAAAGATGGGTTTTGCAAAGTTTCAAGCATCTATAAGGAAAACTTTTATTTCGTCTTTAAATAAATTGATCGAAAAAATAATTGTTTCTGTGTTAAGCTAATAACTTCTCAACTCATTCACGTATTCGTATTATTGTACAATTTTTATTAATAAAGTGTAGAAATATTCTTATTTATTAGTAAGTGATTCAAAATTCAATATGAATATTTTTATAGAATTTTATCTTACGTCAAAAGTATATCAAGAAAACTCGTTCGTAATAAAACCTGGTAACCTTCGTAAAATTTCTGAACTCGTAGATTGCTTTGGTGAAAGGAAAAGATATTAAATTAAAATATTGTGGAAAAATAATTTCATACGTGAATATTATGTAAGATAATTATCTGAAATAATAAAATAAAATGAATTTTTTATTTACAGTCAACATTTAACGGCTACTCATACGGTTTTAAAGGTGTTTTGGAAAATGGATTTTTTTATGATCTTCGACACACAGCCTGCATCCATCAATTGGAAAAATCTTGGTATTAAATATTTTCAACGATTTTGACAATCGTTTAACACTTTATTCGTGTTAATGAATAAACTTATTAAACTTGATCTCATACGTTGAATAATCCAATAAATATTTTCTTATCTGTCATTTATCTTAATTTAGTTTACTGCTGTTAATTTTAACGGCACGACTATTCTCGTTTATTTAATCCAGTTAAGAATATATTAAATATATCAGATAATGAACTAAAAAACAATGCATGCCGTTTTAATCAACAAAAATAAGCAAGTATATGAATGTAGAAATGGCAGTAAGTTTCTTGGTTATCTAATATTAAATGTCTTTATTTCAGCCGAAGTTGGTGGAATATTCAGCCTTTTCCTTGGTTGTAGTATCCTTAGTGCTGTAGAAATTATATATTTCATTTATCTTCTTTGTCGTGGAATTTGTTCGAAAAAACAAACTCATAATAATTAAGTTTAAAAATATGATTAAATAATCAGCATTTTTATAGATATAAAATTAAATTTGAATAACTTTCTGATATATCGACCGAATCTTCTGTTCGCACCTCAATTAAATTAAAATAAAAATAATAATAAAAAACAATCAACTATAATTTATTTTTAAAAATAATCAATTTCTCTTCTGTTTATATTTCTATTTCAATCTGAATTCATTCAGAAATGATATTCAACAGAACGCGATAATAGTATTTGGAACGACCCAAATTCACATCAAGTAGATCTATTTCCAGCGATTACTGGAACGTGGTGGCCATTTGCCAGTCTTACCACGAGCTCAAATATGTAAAATTATTTATTATAAAAAACGATATTACTACTACCATGTATTCCATCACGATGATTATCACGAAGCTCTTGTCACACGACACGTATTAATTATTAATCAACGCAATTGAGCACGTGACCATGAAAAATAATATTATTTATCTTTGACTTAAATAAATGATCAACAAGATCAATGAAATGATTTAATCATTACTTTTATATATAATATATATAGGATATTTCAAAAGTCACTTTAGAAAAAACAAATAAAAAATTAAAATTAATTTATCAATAGGATTCTAGAGCATATTGTTTTTCATTACATAATACGAATCTCCACAATTATACTATTTGATAAATTTTCGATGATAAATGCTTGAAAGTTTTTCCTTTTAATAAAAGTAGTCTTGTGTTATCTATGGTACACACATATTTCCGGAACCTCTAAGATTTATAAGAACTTATGTAAGCAATCATTATCTTGTGTTAAACGAAGGATGGAATAAACACTCTATCCAGTCGATATTTATTGCTTTTTTAGTTAGAACAACTCAAGATGAGGAACATTGATGTTCCTACGTTTCTTCTTAACGGATTATTTTTGGATCGGATATAGAAATTACTGATTTTCATCTTCTATACACAACTACTTACGTAAGTATATGTATACGTACGTAGTAATGAAACAGTGAAACACTCTGAAAAACCGAAAAGTATCAGCTATTTTCGTATTAACACCCACACTTTCCGTGTTCATCGTCCGTGTAACCAAAACGTTTACTTATTTTTCTCTGTACAAAGACAAAGCTTGTATAAACATACCTCGTTCTTTTCAACTTTTTTTTCATCTTCATGGCCATTAACTCATTAAATTTAAATTAAAATTGTGTCAAATTTTTCTTTACAAATTACGCTATACAAAATTATATTTTATATTTTTAGGTATATAATTATTATATTATATACCTAAATATAATAATATATATAAATATATATAATATATATTAAATATATATATATATATTTATAATAATAATAATAATTCGAATACGTTAACAATACAAATTTCATCCGTTCCAATTTGATAACGTCAACGTTCTCTGCATGCGTAAAATATTTCGGACAAAATTTTTGTTTTAATTTGGCATGTTTTTTTTTATAGATCAAATTCTTGATACGTAAATCGTAGAATCTTCCCTTTTATGAATAATTGTCGTCCATTATTTTCACACACACTTTTTTAAACATTGAATACATTGACGCGTTACGAACATGTATTGACATTTATTCGATCATACACACACACATGCACGCGCGCGCGCACGTACATGTTTTCGTCTTGAACATTTATTAATGTTTCACACTTTCTATAAATTGGCACATCATATCATAGAAATATATATTACATTCTAATTATAATAATTTCACTCACTTCCACATCTTCCATATAGAATTAATTAAAAATCAATTTTTTTTCTTTTCCTTAACATTATTTCATTTCGATTATTAAAACTTAATTAAAACTTAAATTAAATATTGCGTGTTTGCAAATCGGTGATCATATTCCGATAGCGAGATCAAGAAGAATCCGGAAACGTTTAATTGATGTTTACAATTCTCAGATTATATCAATGAAGAAAGTTGTCCAGTCTTCGAGAAACTCGCATTATTCGTCTTTCATACTTCAACCCTAAAACATCGATTAAGGAAATAATTTTAAAATAAAATAAAATGAACGATTAAATATATGAAATATTTTTTTACATACCATTATGAGAAAAAAAAAATAATTATAAGGGATTAAAATATCCCCGAGTAAAGTAACCATAATGATATCAAAAGTAAAATGAGAATCAAGTAAGTGGTAAGAATGTTTTTCGTTTCGTGTGCCGCCTGTGGCATCTTCGATTTTGTCTTTTATTCAATTCACTCCACTTAAAAAAAGAAAAAAAGTAAATTAATAATTAATAAATAAGTAAATACAAAAATACACATATTTTTATATAAAACTATATTAACAATTAATAATAATTATATTTAAAAGAATGTATATTTTTAATTCGATTTACTGCACTCTATAAAAAATTGTAATAAACAAATGAAACAAAAATACACATTCTTTTAATTGTAAAAAAAATATTGAAAATAAAAAATTATTATAATCAAGTGATAGATATTTTTTATTCGATTTATTGCACTCTCGAAATAAACTTCAATAAATATATAAATAAGACTACACAGTATTGTATACGAAAATAAATTAAAAACCAAGAATTATGTTTAAAAAGATCGATATTATTTATTCTAGATCTTACCCACACAATCAACAAAGTATGTGAGACCGATAACGGTCGATCAAGTAGATCAATTATCAGAAAAAAAGCTTTCCCTCCTGATATAAAAAAATAATATGAAAAATCAGGAATGAATTCGTTCTACGCGTCTTTACGTCCGATCGTAAACTGGATTCGCTTAGAAAAGGATCCGCAATCGAAGATCCCGAAATTCCTCCAGGAACCCAAAATTCGTCGTCGTTTGAGCTCCGCCCCACTCGATTCGATAACTCGCATCTTACCCGTGTAATATCTGCTCCAGGATTGGTAGCTCCGATTCCACCACCGTCGTTGCAAAATTCGAAACCGTCCAACGCCGAAAGAAACTTCATTTAAAAGTGTTCTCTCTGGCTACCTCGAAGTTATATTAAGGCATTTCTATCTCGTTATTATACCTTCGAGTGATTCAACAATTTTTTTCGAAATATTAAATCCGATCGATTATGTTAACATAAATTAAAACAAAGAAAACAAAATATTATAAACGTCTTACTATAATTTATATTCTAAATTTTTATTTTAAAAATTTTCTAGTACTTAAAGAAAAAAAGAAAAAACTTGTTAATATGAACAAATGATAATTAAAAAATTCGATGAAATATCATAATAAATTATTTTACTTCGATTTTTTAAAAATCACCGTTTTAAAAATAACTTCTTTTTTTAAACGTAATGAAATAAATTGAAATCAGCATGATTGAAAAAGCAAACATATAAGATCAAAATGAAGATATTATCTAATGGTATTAAATTTAGAAAAGGTAATTGACCCGCGAAACTAGCCAAGATAAAATTATTATTTAATTAATGAGATTCAGAAAAGACTTAAAAGATTCTAACGTTCAAGTCAAAGTTCAAATGGTTCGTAATCCTGTAATATATTTAAATTATAACTTATACAACACGAAAAAAAACGAAGCTTCAAATTTTAATGCGTAAGACTCGGGTGTCGACAAAAATTCGCATCCGCCATGGCTTTAAGTGATTTTTATTTTTAAACAAAATGCCTACCAGTCCGGATGAAACACCCACGCATTCGAATTTATAACATGAGAAGAATTTCTTCGTTTTTTTACCAATAAGACTCGGGTTGATACAGTTATCTCACGTGTGGCACCAGGTTTAATTTACACATGACAAAAGTGAAAAGAAAAAAATGAGCAGGAGGAAAAAGAGTAGAAGGGAAAGAAGAAGAACAAGAATGATGACGCGTGCAGTATCATACTTATCGTTTAATATTGTTCTTTTATTTCATTTCTTTTTTTTTATAATTCTAGATGTTTAACAATAATACGTTTACGCTGCATAAAAAAATAAATTTAAAAGAAATAAACGTTTGTTCTAATTCGAAGATTTTCGAAAAGAGTTAACGTTTATAGGTTTTTCTTCTTTTTTCAAGTGACAGGGTATATGCTATTTTATTTTATCTAATTTTTTTTTTATTTTTTAAACTAACATAAGCTGTTCATAACGCATGATAATGTACTACAAGTAGGAAATTCGCATAATCGCGAAGGTGTGGCACATAGAGAACAGTTCTACGTCTTAACGATTTCTGCTGATCTTATTACAAAAATAGAATAAATTAATATATACTCTCATAGATGACATTTATTTTTTTTAATTATATTTTTTTGTTTTTTTCTAATTAATCAAGAAAGAGCTTCAATCGGTCGATCCTTCATCGCGATGAAGGCTTGCTTGCCCATCTTTGCTAATTATTCATAAAATAATATGCGAGCTAATAAATGCATCATGCAAATGCAGGAATTTTTTCTAGCAAATATTAATTTTTCTCACCTTTAATACACTACTTGTATGTTAGTAATAATTGAAGTATGTATTTTCAAAGTTACTCTTTGCGGATTTTAAATTGCTCATAAATTCTTTTCTAATACATTTTTATGCATCGATTCTTCTTTTTCTTCTACTTTTTCTTCTTATCAAAATTATGATAAAATCAAGAATTTTGCAGAAATCTTGATAAAATCAATCAATTTTAATCGATAAATTAAAATTGTTTGTTATTTGCTTACGCTAACGCGTAATTCTAGGATTCTCCTTTATGATTAGATAGAAATGTTATTCGAATCTTTTAGCCAAAATTAGTCGCAGTATTAAATCCCCGTCTCATTCGTCATCTCGAAATTCTAATCTAAATTTAGCTCACTAAGCAAACATCGATTCCTATCAACAATCTTTTAGACAGATACGAGTTTAAACTTCTAACAAAATATTACGTAAATTTTCTTCTTTTAACATTTTTTTCTTTCCTAAAAACTACGCAAAGCATTTGTTTTCGCATAATAGAAAAACAATTTTCTTCTTTACAATTCCGAATAATAATTTGTAAATTTACTAAATTTATATATATTTATCTAAAAATATATAAAAATATATTTATAAACTAATCTAAATTAATATCAATTTCAAAAATCAATTTTAATATTATAAAAGATGATAAAGCAAATCACATCAAAATAAAACGTAAAATTTGAAGAAAAATACAAGAATCAATCGTAATTGTGATTAAGTATACATTTCGTTATATAAAAACAGTGATTAATACAAATGGCATACAATGCATTCTCATTATCGTAGAACGTAAAAAAATACAAGATAAAACATAACAATCATAGATCTAAACGTTATTGGCACAAAAATCAGCATTAAAATAAAAATTGTTGTAACGTAGTGACTCGAGTGAATTCTTAAATAGATAAAATTATTTAACTACAATAATTATTCATTCTAATATAAATAAATTAGAAAATATCTTGGAATCTTTTAATTCGGCTTACCTCAGTTCTGTGTATTAATACAACCTACTATTACATAATTCTCACTAGAAATTTAAGCTAATGAAAATCCTAGAACATCCTCCAGTGAATAATCGAACAATTTCAAATCTAATTTGTACAAATCTTCCAATTTCCTTAATTGTTTATAACTTAACGTCGAATAATATCGATCCAACTTCTTGGATGTTGGCTCGCTGCTAGATGGCTTAGATGGGAAACTAGATAAATCAATAAAAACAATCACCACAGTTATTTATGACTGCGTTATCTCAAGGCTGTAAGTATACTTAGCTAATAGCTTATCTAAATCACAAATTAAGAATACTCACTTAACAGAGACGACGTTCATCCTTTCCAACACTTCCGTAGCGTCTTCCACCAAGGTCTCATACTTACTTACAAGATTATAATTAACTATGCACGGATGGCATAATTCATATATGGGTCTCCAGTGTTCGTTCTTCGTACCATTTTCCGAATCATTTATAATAAATTCGACAAATTCGCGAAATGTAACGTCGTCGCCATTTTTTAACGATTCTTGCGTGGCATTGACTCTATACTTCTATAAAAGAAAAAAAGAAAAAAATATCTTTGTTTATTAAATATTATATAAATTTAACGAAAAAATAATCATCAGAAGTATCTCACCTTAATTATTTTCTTTCCAAAACGCGTTTGAAAGTATCTCGAACTCTTTTCATTCTTAGCTTCCAATTTATTCCTATATGCTGATAACAACCTTTCGAACGGATGTCTAACGACTATAAGTTTATCATACGCTAATAATTTTTGTTCAATTTCTGAAAGCGTGTAATTACTTAGCCTCAAAAATACACCCGGAGAGTGAGCCTGGTCAGCCGGTATTTCTAAAGGATCGTTTCCAGGCCACTTTCCTGTTGCAACCATTAAAACACGTTTCCAGTTTGTACAGGCAACCTGTAAGAAAGGCAACTCATTTTACATTTTTTAAGAGGAAAATACAAACATACGTATACACGTTACTTGTTCGAAAGTTAATAGAATATGTCCTTGAAACATATCCTCACGTTTTCTTCCCACACGCTGTCTTAATTCATTTATTATTCGTTTTCATCTTTTTACTTCTTCTTCTTCTTATTACTTTCTAAATCTTACCACATTATATACCGGTTTTATTATAGATCATTATATAATCTTCATAATTCCATTTAGAGAAATACAAATAAATGTCAATGTAAAATTAAAAAGATGAATACATTATTATCTTACTAATAATACTATAAAGATTTTCAAAGTTTAATGCATTTACATAAAACGATCATTATTATTCGCATCTACTTTGAGCAATTATTAAACATACGAATATTATTAGATCTTATAAGAGACTCTAATCAAAATATCTTTTATTCTTTTACAGAATTATCAATATCAACGATACCTTTGGTACGTAACAATAAAGCAACTCGTGTTGCTCGTCGACGAGAATGTTTCGAAAGGATTCAGAAGTCAAAGTTCCACTTTCAACATTATTACGTCTAAGAAACTCTTCGCAATTATATTGCAATCTTTCTTGACGTTCCAACAAAGCTGATCTCGCAAGCGCATTAGGTCCGGTCCAAGAGTACATATATTTCTGTGATTCAAGATACTTCGGGTTGCCATATTCTAATAAAACTTCTTCGTCGATTTTCTCTGCACTTAGGATCGAATTCCAAATAACGAGATTTAATATTATTTCTTTGAAGACACGACATCCTGTCATCGTCCCTTAGTGACCACACGGTACATTGAATTATCTTCTTGTGAAATGATGTCGTCTTGCTTGCGCAATTCTTTCTGCAAACACGAAAGACATTTATTCACCCATTCGAGTCATCCATCCACGTTGGCGTTGATAAATGTTAAGAAAATAAAACAAAAACCGCATATCAACAATATTTTCAACTCTGATAACTGGAACAACGTGATTGCATTATAAAGGCAACGAACATTGATTTAAATGAATAAATTTAATTAAATATATTTCATACGAGGTCGAAACGATAAGTCTTTTATTCCGATCAATCGAATGTAACTCGTACCAATCTACAGGTATGATATATAAATGTATATAACATTAAACGACATTTACATTTAAATTCCTTTAACAGTCTAGTATCTCGGGTCTATTAAAAAATTATAACCCCTGCTGACTACCACGAACGAAATATACAAAGTATATCAAAAGATTATATAGGCACGCGTGTAAAATAGTTACATTAGTGACTGGATGATTACGTTAACCTGATATATATATGTATATATACATAATCTACAATCTCGGTACACCAGTTTCAATACCACGCTATGCGAAACCTGTTCTTGAACTTTGTCCATGACATCGATCCAGCGTAAAATCATTTGTCGGGCATTAGAGGAACATTAAATTGTAACATATTTTCCTTCGATAAATTATTATATTTTTTTTAATTATCATTTATTTTTCACTTTTATTTTTACTTTTTACTTTTTATTTGTTACACATGATCCACACACGACTACTTCGCACATGTTTCCTCGAACCGTCCAGATGATCGTCTGAACATTTATGCAAAAGTAACGGATTGAACAACGGATCGGCTTAACGGAATCCAGTTTATGGAAGTAGAACGTAATCTCGATCTCGTTTACGCGCCAAAGCGTGCAAGTCACATGCGACAGATTTGCGATTGAGAATGTTGATACATATTGCGATAAAAAAAATTGGAAAGAAAGGTCAAACAACATATGGTGGGTTTTTTTTATTACGACCATCCCTTGCCTCCTGTCCATCACTCCAAAACGATTTGACCGATTTTTAAAAAAGATTCGATTTAAATGTGAAATGATTAAAATATTGCATCCGCATTCGTACTCTATTCATAAAGCAATTTTTACGAGTATCCAAAAAATTGTTCATGATAAGTTATCAAATTCATCGAACCCTGTCTCAAAAGTCAAATAAAAATATTTTTCGACGAGGAAAAAATAATATCATGGTTGGTCGTTCAGCATTAAAAATATGAAGCAACGATTTGATTCTTATATTTCTTTTTAAAAAACTAATGAAACGTACGAACCGTTGCTTTTTCATGGTCCACCACTCTGATTGCGTCATGTTCGTGACTGTTAAAAGAAAAAGATATTCGAGAAAATAGGTTGCGTATATATAGTTGATGCAATTAAGAAAAAAAAAAGTTGTTTAAACGTGAAAGAAGTGATCGAGGTCACGTGTCGTTAAGCATCCGTCGGCCGATCATCGGCCTGCACCTTTTTAGATTCATCAACCGGTTAAAACCCACACCATGCAGTTTGACTCGCACGATCAATGATCATGCTAAATGCGGCTAGCTTGAAGCTTAAGAATTTGTAACCCTTGCGATATAAATGTAACATCCATGTTGTATTAGGTGGTTCGAAAAGTTACAATTTTTATTTCTAATTCAAATAATAAAAATGAAATAAACGAGATTTTACATATAAATGTATAGATTCTATTTAACATAAATAAAAAAAAGAGATGAAGCAAAACCATTGAACACTTCAAAACCACTTCCTTGACAACTTCCATTTAAGTTAACCCTTAAACATAGATGCTTCACACGTGCGCGTTACCAATTTACCTTTACTATCCATAAATAACTATACTTATAACTAGGATGTAATAATGTCTCTACTTATCAAAGATAATTTTTAAAATGACGATATAATAAGTTCTTTCTTTTTTAAATGATTATCTTGATAAAAAAAACTATTATCACTTATATTACTTTTTTCCTAATCTTTTAACTATCATAGTTGAAAACCACATTATTTACTAATCTACACAAATCAATACTTAGGATCAAATACTGCGTTTTTTTACTTACCGAAGATGACTTTTTTTAAAAAGACGATATAAATTTCTTCTTTTGTTTCAGACAATTATCTCGATAAAAAGTAATGATTTATCCACTGATATTATTTTTCTACGAATCTTTTAGTTATCATTGACGACTTGGAAAGCAACGACTTGGCTCGACTTCGCCCTCTCGACTGACAGCGCCGAAATATCTCAAACGTTCAACGTTCGTATCCCGCGGTGTACTTACGAAACGTAAGCCCATTCGTCAACAATTTGCCGTCAGGAAAAAGATGCCACGCTCGTCCACCAAGAGCGGGAAAAATTCAAACAGACGATCCTTTCAACTGCTAACAAACATCAATTTTTCCTATTTTACGTTCGTACTTTTTAACTAGCCGAATCGAGAAAAAGATCAAAAAGAGGGTCAAGGTTCAAAGTAACTGAGCACTTCTTCTTTTTCTTCTTTTTCTTCTTCTTCGGACATTGAACTCTGAACTTAATGAAAATTTCTGAACAATTACTAATTTTTTTATCACACAGATTTCTTTTCATTAAATTATCATTACTTTTATAGGTTTTTTTCTTAAAGAATCTTGATTATTCAAAAATGGAGAAAATAGAAGAACACGAGACGCGTCGAGTGTCTACCTGCTCACAAAGACGATACTGAAGGACCTTCCTCCCATGCATATTTCTCCTTCCCTCTCTCTCTCTCTCTCTCTCTCTCTCTTTCTCTTTACTTCTGTCTATTTCTCTTTCTCTTTACTATATTGCGTGTATTGTGTTAAACAGAGTGAAAGAAGTTGCGCGCGCCTCTTTTCTTGTAAAACGTCTTCCTTTCTCTTTCTCTCTTTCTCTCTCTCTCTCTCTCTATCTCTCTTTCCCTCTCTTTCTTTCTCTCTCTCTCTCTCTCTCTCTCTCTCTCTCCTTCTATTATTCCTTCTATTATCATCCCTCTCTATACTTATCGCATTGTTAAAAATTATTCTAGCATAAACACGTGTATATATTCGAGATGTTTACCGACACACTTCATTTATTTATCATAACTCACAGGTAACACAAAATGCAACTACGAAATAAGTTTCCAAATAATAAAGCAAAGTACGTGACATAAACCACAATTCAAGAAGTTGAAATACATACAGTGAAAGTAAGCAAAGACACAATTTGTTTATCTATTACGTTTTTCAACGCGTTTATACAACTTTAAGCCTCTTATTTTTATTTCGAAATATTTGTCCAATTTTTTGATCATTACGTTAAAAAAACAATCTGTTCAGTTTATAATTAATAAAGAAAAATCATTTCGATTGGTAAGTATTGTTACGACATTTAACTTCAATTATAGCGAACACTTATGTTCGTTCTAAGAATAATGGATAAACATTTTTCTATCGAAAATTAGATGTAATTTGTCATCAATTTTATAACAACCTGATCTTTTAAAAAAGATCTATATAAAATTATCTCGACCACGTTTAACGATCGTTATATGGCACAATTTATGGTTGCAATTGTACAAGTTAAATTCACAACACATACACTAACGTTAATAACATTATTACGTCAGTATACATTCCTATAAGAATAGATAATCAATCATAATAAGCCAATTGAATGATTGAAAAATATTTGTCAAAAATGATTTTTATCTTATCAACCTCTTATTCTCAAATTCTTTAAATTATTATCACCCATGTATACTTTTATTTATTTTATGTATATACTTTTATTTATTTTATATTATTCATTAATTTTTATAAATAGAAAAAATGTGTTGTCATTAAGTTCCGTGTTGTTTGTGCATCTTTATACAAGTTTTGTTCAACTGATTATTATCAATTATGTCATAGAAGTTTCTCCTGCATGAAGTCGTATTGCAAAATATATTGGACATCGTATAAATTGAGTAACAGGTTCTAACAATTAGGATAAATTATACTTTATCATTTTCTTTTTTCTTCTTATTTCTTACAAATTTGTTTAATCAAATGAAAAGAAAAATTAAATATTTAAAAAATTATCCGTGAAAAATGACCATATATAGCCAAACATGATCATATTAGAATATGTCCGTTTAAATCATTCAACTTTTGTCTAACACATTTTTTCTACTATCAGCAGTTTCGAAGATATTTAAGTGCACCGATTTAAATGAAACACCTTGTATAGCTATTATTACTATATAAAATTATATATAGCTATACTTATTCATGCAAGGCCAATTTTCCAACATGAAAATATATGGCCATGTATAATTCATTTTTTACAGGTAGATTTCACATTTCCGTTTTGGATAATCGTTAAATCAGCATACAGTGCTTATGATCGAAACTGACGAACATCATTGCAACAAGGCGATATTTGGGGCATCCATAACAGAATGATTATACAATAACGTTACACCAGTAACCTCGATTTATCGCTCTATAGAATTATTGAACCGATTTGTAATATATTTAAAAATTGTCATTTAAATTATATTTTATTTAGCCTTCGTCGGTCCTCCAGTTATAAACGTTCAATATTCCAATCAGATATGGAAGTCAAGTCAGTTTGTCAAATTTTTCCATTGCCATAAATATTATTTTCATCTTTTGTTATTGTTATTAGTCTGTTATTTAGAAAGTCTCTGTTAGATCGTAAAAAATATTTGTTTCTCCATTTGCAACATATTTTTCATCCTAAGAACAATAATTGCATATTGGTAAAAAAGTTATAAAATTATTTTTATTGCATTATATTTTTATACTATATATAATATTAATTCTAAAATTTCACATGGAAATTCTTCAAATTTTATTTCTACAATGTATTTAAAATTTCAAGGTCTTTCAGAGAAAGTAAATTACTAGCTTTTTATATATAGTCTTTGCTATAACAGATCGCTTTTAGTCTTGCTTGGGATATCGTTGCTGTCTCCGAAGAGAAGTACACTTAGATTAAGTGAATACGTGTTTATATTTGTTCGTGTGAGAGAGAGAGAAAAAGAAAAATAATATACAAGTAAAAAAAATATAACCCAAAAAAAAATACTTCTTCTTTGTTTATATTTATTATATTTATTTAATTATTCTTCTCTCTGTAATATCTATATTAACGTTAAACAACATTTGTGTTCTTCCAGCATACAAGTGTAATTGATGACATTTTACTAACTCTACGAAAGAAAATAATGTTAACGTTAATAGTACTGTTGTGGTTAAGCGCATTTCTTGTATTTTGGATATTGTCCATTCCGATAAGTCGATTATTATCAACTATATGGAAAACGATATTTCCTTTGATCAACTCCACACCAATCGATTTTCGTACGAAGTTTGGCGAATGGGCCGGTAAGTTGAAGAAAATAAAAATCAATCTGAAGAAAATATTCATTAAATTTCTTTTTCATTACAATTATCTAGTGGTAACTGGTTCAACTGATGGCATTGGAAAAGCATACGCTAAAGAATTAGCCACGAGGCACATTAATTTAATTTTAATAAGCAGAAGTTTGGTAAAATTAGAAAAAACTAGGAGTGAACTGTTAAACATTAACCCTAACATTATAGTAAAAATCATAGAGGCAGACTTTAGCAAGGGTAAACCGATCTTTGAAAAAATCCGGGCTCAATTAAACGTACCAATTGGAATACTGGGTAAGTAAAAACAACAAAATATTTATACGTTGATATCAATGAAAGTCTGCACTGTATAATAATTTCATTATTAATGTTGTAAATCATTCGAAGGAAAATCAATGTTCATTATTTCATTTAAAAATAAATAAAAAAGAATAATAACCCTTGACCGATAACGATATCTTAATCCATAAATACTAACGAATACAATTACAGTTTTTGCTTATTCGAGATACCAATTGTACATAGATAAGAATTTAATGAAATTTATTCTTCTTTTACACTTAATTTATTATTTATTATTACAATTCTAATTTTTTTGTAATTTATAAAGAAAATCAAAATTATATCTATATAATTAATCCTTTACTTTTCATTTAATATTTATTTAGTAAACAACGTTGGCAAAATGTACAAGTATCCCATGTATCTTGACGAAGTTCCGGAAGATGAGTTATGGGAACTGATAATGATTAATGTCGGAGCTGCCACAATGATGACACGATTAATTATTGAACAAATGAAACAACGTGGAAAAGGTGCTATAGTAAATATATCTTCTGGATCGGAACATCAACCGCTTCCATTAATGACTGTTTATGCTGCTACGAAAACTTATTTAAAAAGTTTTTCCGATGCTATTAGAAAGGAATATTCGCACTTTGGTATTACGATTCAACACTTGGTACCACTCTTTATTAATACTAAAATGAATTCATTCTCCCCTTCTCTTCAGGTATTCTTCTATCTGTCATTTTTATAATTGTTTGTGTATCTCGACCAGAAAGTTTGCTTTTGTGAATGTTTTAAAGGTTTCAAAAAACAATTATTACATAAAATTTTCCGATTCAGATACGTACATTAATTTTTGCACGATCTAAATTATAAACACCCTAAAAATAAAATATGAATATGCATATTAAACAAATTTATTTTGTTCATAACAATCATGCAAAAACTACAATTAAAGATCACTTTTGTGCACTACAAAATTTTAAACAAAAGGATTACTTTCTCCATAAATCGTACAAAAATATTATTCTCCTATCTTCCTGATTTTAATTTCATTAACAAAACTTTTCTCTTTAATTTGCATTATATAAAACAGGTATCCAGCCTTTTTGTTCCTAATGCAACGACTTATGCTAAGAATGCAATAGCAACGCTTGGTAAGGTGGACACGAGCAGTGGATATTGGGCTCATGGAATTCAAACTTTTATAATTCTAATCGCACCCATGTCGCTCAGGGTTAAGATTGGTTACTTATTAATTAACAAGTATCGACAAGATTATTTTAAATACATCAAAGATAAATAATGCGAGATGAATAAGTAATAATATATTACGTAAAAAAATAGTTACTACTAGTTGTTTCATTAAAATCGAATTTTAATCCTTATGATTATAACTAAATTATAAATAACGAGATATCAAGGTCATCGTTTTTTTTTTTTAATGAAATTACATATTTATACTAGAATATTCTTATAACTTATAAAGAAACGAATCCAATGATGTATAATACAATATGTTAACCTCCTATCAACTTTTATTGAGAAAATTGTGAAATTACCGTCCTCCGAACGCATACTAATGTTCCTAACATACATTATATCTCAAAAAACACATATCTCGAAAAAAAATAATCTTGAAAAATAAATTCGACTCATCACTATATTGGCGCCTTCAGGCAGAATATTTTTTTCCTGTAACATTTTTTTCTATCGTACGAAATAAACGAGATATTTTAGGTGATTAATTTAGGCGAAAGACATTGTATATTTGAAAATGGAAACAAAAAATATATTCTCCACGTTATTTAACGCATTCTAGTTCCTACGCCTCAGAATATTGAGGACAAATAGAATACTATTGGTAAAAGTAAATAGATATCTTATATTAGACGTAAAGGACCGAAATAAAACACTTTTGCATATGTTATGTATATGTAAAATTGTAGATATTAATTATCTATTTAAAATTTAATTGTAAAAAAAAGTATTTTTGTTCAAATCTGACTTCGATTTGAAAATAATTGCATTTGCGAGATTTATCTTCAATAATTATATGTACAATAATTATTATTTTATAATTGAAAAAAATTTAATCTACGAAATATATAAGTATTTCTCAAATGTATAATTTAATATTTTAAAATACAGTATAATATTGTTAGAATTCATTTAATTTATGTATATTAAAATCATTTGTAGAAAAGTAATACAAAATAAATAAGTAAATATAAGAAATCAATGAAAAAGTGCAGGGTAATAGGAAATCTTAGTACGTTACTGCTATTCGGTGACTGGTGAAAATGGAAGGGATCGACAACGTTACGTGAACTTATGGAATGAACTCCGTCGAAGGGAGACGTTCACTCGTTATCCATGAATCGAAGAAGGAAGACGTTTGATATTTTAATCCGTTCTATAATACGAGGAAGATGATTTACTAAGTGGTTAACAAACTTGCACACGCAAGTGTGCCTATACAACTAATTAACAATGGAGTGAGTACATTTTAATAATTAATTAATTAGAAAATTTAAATAAAGGAATTAGATAAAAGATTGATGCGATTGTTGCAAAAAAATTTATCGTTTTTTCTTCAACAATTAAACATGTGCTGTGTGTAACATTTGTTGTTTTACTCGTAGTTTCTTTTATGAAATTAATTTTATTTTATTCATCCATTACGTTCTATCGACTTTCATCATATTTAATAAATAATTAAAAAATTAAATAAAATAAAATCAAGTAAATATTATCCTCTTAAATTTACTAACTGGAAAAATTTATTTAAAAACTTTTGAGAAACGATTTTCCAAATATTTCGAGAAAAGTTTAGCCACGCCAACGAATGTGCTGCCATTTTGTGATTCATCGTGCCACGACATACATACTTCTTTCCTCAAGATTTTCACTTCGTCCATTTTCCTTGAAACTCGGCATTTCCTTATAACTCTCTTAGATCGTATTAAATTTTTAAGTTATTAATATTATTCAAATTAAATTAATCGATTTTTATCACTTAGCTTATCCAATTCTAATAAATTTTGATTGCATCATAATACGATATCGATCATTTTCATTCCCTATCTATACTAAATTATTCCAACAAAATACGAATATTTCTATCAATAATAGCACAATTGTGTTCCAAAGCAATACAAATCGAGTATTTGTCAACGTAGTATCTTGTTATTTTATTTGATCTTGGTTTTATTTTGTTAAGGTATTATTACACATACATCTTATCTTGTTTCTTATCTATTTCGAATGATTGATGTTGCAAAATTAAGTTTTCTGATTGATCTCTATAAGTTATACAGAAAATAACTAATTATATAATTCAAATAGTTAACAATTAAACAATTTATTTATCAGCATCAAATATTTTTTTTGTAGACTTTCAGATAAAATTAAATTGCAGTTACGTTGTTTTTAGAATCAATTGCAAAATTAACTTTGCAAATTACTGTGCAATTATATAATAAAACAATTTAATATATGATTATCTAATATATTTTGTATATTTTCAAATAATTAAATTATTGTATTATTATGATTTTAGAGCCACTATGGCGCTCACTACGAGCTACGTCGTAAAGACGACACAAATTTCTTTTAATAATTTTATAACGTATCATGATTGGATTTGCATCAACAATGATGGAACTTCAAGACCAGGAGATGTGGAAATGGAAGACGGAACCAGAGTCCCCTAAGGGGACATATATAGAAAATGTAGAAGACGATTGGTTTATGCACAACGATAAGTCCTTAGAATCTACTACATATGCTGCTGATGAATCTGTTATGTATGACGATCAACCAACAAACCGTGCACATAGGGTGACAAAAATTTTAAATGAATTGAACGAATGGATAAAAGAAGGTAATATATATTAAACATGTAAATATTATGCTTTTATTTTACTAGTCAGATTGATATGTTTAATCGACAAAAAATTATCAAGGTACTTTAAAACAATTGAAAGTTCTCTAATCTGTTATTGATGTTCGAACAACATTACAAACATCTTTGCTTCGCTCTACTCTCAATAAAATAACCTTGCAGTGTTTTGGATTATTGATGATAACAAATCGTCTTTATCGAATCGTCATTGACAATGAAGAAAGAAAAATCTATTCCTTCATAAATTTATATGCAGCCATTTAATCAACCTAACAAATAGTTATTCAATGTACTTCTAAATCGTATTAAAATATAGCGAAAGAAATAATAGTATATGAAAGAGATTGTGTGCGAACTTAAGAGAAAAAAAAGTGATTGTATAAAAAATATTAATGTCAAACCTATTGATATATAATTTTGTTAACTGGTATAGGTGTATCGAAAGCATATAAATTGTTTCTTTCTCTCTCTTTCTCATATTCTGTATAGATATTTTTTTTATTTGCCTTTTTTCTACTCAAGGAATTCACCCGATTTCTCTATGTCTTACTCTTTCTCTTTCTTTTTTTCTTTCTTTCTTTTTTTCTTTCTCTCTTCTTTCTGTCTTTCTTTCTCCTTCCAGTTATTTCAATTTTTTTCTTTTTCTTTTCTGAAAAAGAGTGGGACAAACTGGTTAACCTCTACGCAAATGGCTTTGCTTGGAAACCGATAGGGTGATGACGTAGGCATTTGAAACGGTGGAGAAGGGGCGTCAGAGGGGGAAAAGTCCAAAGATAAGAAGGAGTGGTTTAACTTCAGTATACAGCCAAGTCTCTTATGTGAGACTTGTACGTGATCTACGATTTTCAGTAGCGATGTGCAGTACCATGCGCGATATCTTTCGATATAAAATATTAACTGTCTGTTGAGAAAATTTTCTTCTCATCTTTTATATGATCTCTTATCGGAACATTTGAACGTGGTGTATACACATATACAAACAGAAAAAAGTTTAGAAAAAGAAGATTCAAATACAACGCCATATCTTAACGCATGCGCTACTGTTTTGGCACTAGGGTGGTGTGATTGTATTACTACGTGTATGTTTACGATTGGAGAGGATAATCTTCGTGCATCATCAGCACATGCGTAACTAATTTAAAACGACAAAAAATAACAAGAAGAAACTACCGCTTACTGTTTCTACTATTATTGAGAAATAATTCTGTTTAAAATACGAAGAAGATAAACTCTCAGATCAATCTATTTCATTCTCTATCTTGCTCTCTCTCATTCTCTTGTTCTTTTATTTACAGAATTACACGTCCTTGTATATTTGTAGAGTCAATTGATAAGATTTCTCTTTTGCATGTTTAATAATCGGTCTGGAAAGTAGACAGCTGGCTGCCCTATAATCACCAAATTGAGATAGAAAGGGAAAAAGAGAGAGAATTAAATAAAAAAAAAGAAAAAGCGATAAAATAAAAAAAAACAAGGAACGACCTAAACGGGGGATAATTACATACGGTGGAGGTGGCGGTGGTGGTAGTGGTTAAGAAAGGAGAAGGAGGAGTTAGAGTTGGAGTTGCAACAGCAGCGGTTTAACTTAGAAACAAGATACGACTTCGAGAGAGCGTTTAATGGAATTGAGAGTACAATAGACCGAGATACTTACGACGATAACTAAAAAGAATAATTTAACAACAATACTGGCATCTATAAAAGTGATACAAGTGAAAGATCCGGCGACTCGATGTTGGAGTGTACTAATGTTATATAATAGCATGCAGTTCGCATATCGTTACACGTGGAACCGCGAGATCATTGTCAACTCTCAAAAACTTGTTAAAAGACGTTGAAATTGGTCCATCACCGATTTGACAGTGTCTTACATTGCATCCGTCTATTTGGACTAATAACACCAACACTGACGACAACACAATCAACCCCCTCGTGTATTAAAATACGTCATCGTCATTATAAGACGAGAATACGTCGTCGTGCGATAATAAACATTAATATTTTTTATTAAACATATTTTTTACCATATCATATATACATACATACATACATATAAGTGTATATATGTATATATATTTTTAAATATATGTAAATATATATATTAATTTTTTATTATAT